CCAGCGCTGGGAGCAGGGATGCAGCCTCGGAGGAGCATCCTCGGAGCTGCGGCTGCTTCGCTTTGCCGGGGAAGCTTTGCTGAGGCTTAACACATGGCGGGATCCGGGCGGGAGGAGCGGGGGCTGCCTGGCTTTTCACATGCCCGGGGGTCACGGTGCCTCCTAAAATAAACCCGCCGAGCTTCACGCGGCCTTTGCGTGGCTGCACGTGTGCCGGGAGAGCGCGGAGCACAGCCCGGGGTCGGGCACGGGGGGCAGGGGAAGGGGGAGCCGAGGAAAAGGTGCGGGAGAGGATCCTGGCTGCTTTTTGGGGGGGATGAACGGCGGGGCTGCATCCCCGTGGCTCCGGCTGGGATCCTGCTCTGCACTGGGATGGCTTGGTGGTGCCTGGGCTGGGATTTAAACTGCAAGGGCTCGGGCAGTGCCTGCTCCCTGCTATCCCTTTCCTGCTGGGGATTAGAGCAGCTCGGCCTGATCCTCATCAGGTATGATCTCCTTCCAGAGCTAAAACTGCCGCTGCCAATCTCCCCTCTCGCTTCTCCCCGGCAGGATTTGGGATCTGACGGGAGCAGATGTCCCTGGAGCTGCTGCAGTCTCCCGGTCCCAGGGGCTGGAGGGTTGTGAAGATGTGTGTCCACACCTCAGCTGCCTCTGTCTGTGTGTCTGTCCTCTCAGGAGCTCCCCAGAACCACCTGGCCCTGGCACAGGATTATCGGGGGGCTGGGGGGGCACAAGCCCCAGCCAAGGCTTGATCCAGAAGAAAATAATAATAATAATAATAATAATAATAATAATAATAATAATAATAATAATAATAATAATAATAATAATAATAATAATAATAATAATAATATTATCGGTTTCCCAGCACCCTCTCCTGTGTTTTCCTGGATGACCCATCCTCCCCTGCAAAACCAAACCGCAGTTAATCAGCTCCCACGGGACTTGGAGCGAGAAATTCCCAGCCTGTGCCAAGTTTTTCCAGGAAGCCTCGCCACAGGAGGCCCCTGCCTGCCGGGATGCTGCCGGGGCTGGGAGTCACACCTGCGCTAGCACAGAGAGCATCCTTGCTTGGAGCACTGGACATCCCGCAGTGCCCGTGAGACTGAGCCTTCTGAAGGTTTTCTATCGAAATAGCCAAAAAATCTGCGGAAAAACGGGGGTTTTGTTCGCTTTTAAACCCGACCGCTGCCAACGAGCTGCTCGTAGCATCCCTTTGGTTCCAAAGGTGAGCGGTGCTTTCTTCGGGATTCCGCTGCCACGGAGTTTTCCTCGGAGCTCCCGTCCCTGCCTCGGGAAGGGGAGCCCCAAAACCAGGAAAACGGGAGAATTTAGCCAGGAAAACAGAGCTCGGGGAGAAAAAGAAATGCATAGACATCTCCTGGTATTTATTCCACCGGTTATAACAGTGCCGTGGCACGGGGACAGCACAGGAGGTGAGGGACACTCAACCGAGCACAGCACGACTACAGCACGACGAGCGGGAGGACGGGGAGCAATTCCCTCATGGCTTTGTTCTTCTCCTGGAAGGAACAAAGACAGGATCCCATCCCAGGAGAAGGGACGGCGCTGCTCGGGGGAAGGGCTGCTGCGGGCTCAGCTCAGCACCGGGGAGGGCTTTTGCTCCTGTCTGGTGTCAATTCAGCCTTCAGCGCCCTCCCTTCCCCCAGGGATCGTGTAGCAGGTCCTTTCCGGGCTGGCTCCTCCGGAGGGCCCTCAAGGGCACGGGGCTGGGTGTTCCTTGCGGGGATGGGATGTCGTTTCTCGGGCGATGGGCTGGGGAAGCGGGGAGGGAGGTGTTCCACACCCTGCCTCGTCCTTGCGAGGCGAATCGGAGCCTCCCGGCCATTTCCAGGAGGCTGAGTGGAAAGGTGGAGGCAGAGCCACAGCGTGCCCCGAGGTCAGCAGCGCTCCAGGGTCGCTGTGGTTCCCTGCAGCCCCCCGGGCTCCGGCTGCGGACACCCCCCCCCTGCCCGGCCACGGGGGAGCCTCTGGGGTACGGGGGGGACACGCTGGCTCTCGGCTCTAACCCCAGCCCGGAGAACGGAACGAAAACCACACATCAGGGACAGCTGGGTCAGGGACTCGAGGGGGTCACAGGGCTCAGGAGGAGCCGAGTGACACACGGCAAAGGTGACAACGTGGCTGGGGGCCCCGCTGCAGGCAGCAGCCCCCGGCAGAGCCTGCGCTGCGTCCCCTCCCCGCTCAGCCCCATCACATCACGGAGCATTTCTCCGCCGATTGCTTCAGGTCCTCCAGCGTGGCCGAAGCTTTGTCCTTCAAGGAATCAAGGTCCAGGTTCTGGATGTTGCTGAGCTGGCCGATAACCGAGTTCTTCTCCTCCTCCTCCTCGTTGTCCTGCTCGATCATCTTGGCCAGCTCCTTGGGCAGCTCCACGTCGCCTCCCACCAGCTGGATCTGGTTGTCATCCGTTTCGTTCTGGAGCGGGCCGGGAGAGAGTCAGGAGGGGGCACAGAGGGAAGGGAGCCTCTGCGAGCATCGCAGGAGGGGCTTTGGGCTGTCTGCCCGCTCCAAGGAGGATTGGGCGAGAGCCGAGATGGAAACCCACGCTCAGCACCACTACAAACTGGTTTCCAGCTCGCGTTACGGGGGGTCAGGCACTTAATTAAGCTGCGCTTATGCTTAACGACGGCTCCCAGCGGCGGCGAGCATCAGCTCCGAGCCGGGAGCCACGGGGAGACTCGGGATGAGGCAGCCCGGCTGCCAAGCGGGATCAAGAATGAGCAGAAGAAACTTGTCAAAAGATGAGAAGGGACATCTCAAGCACGAGAAGGCAGGGAAAGGATGGTGGGACCAGATCCAAACAAATCCCAGTTTTCCCCGGAGAATAAAAAAAAAAAATCTCCATCTCCTCTTTCTCTGGCTTTTCTGGCTTTTGGCAGGGGGTAAAAGAAATCCTCCAGCTGTTTATTTCCTGGCTATTAAAAGGGGGGTGGGAAGCAGGGGGAATGAATCCGGGGCTGGCTGAACAACACCGAACAATCAGAGCAATCTCACTTGGCTTAGCTGACCCTTCGCAACTAATATTAGCCCGGCTCCAATTTGGGGTATTCACCACCGAGTGACTCTTCCTGAATAAAGGGTGGCTTTGGAGGGAGAAGAGTTTGTGACAATTCCAAGAAAGGCTGAATTATCTCTTGATTAAATTGTTTTTAACCAATCGTTCGTGGTGTGGAAATTCCAAAATTGGAGTTCGGGTGGGAGAGGTTCGCCAATAATCCGGGGAGAGGAGCTCTGGCTAGTCCAGCCAGAGATGTTCACTGCTGGCTCCAGGGAGTCTGCGGTGAAGGGGGTTTGCCCTCACCCAGCTGGATTCGGGGGGCAACAGCGAGGAAGAGGGGGATCAAGCAAGGCTGGGGGTCCCACTGTCTCGGGCTGGTGGTCTGTGGTGCCCGGGGGGAAGGAAAGGGGCCAAAAATTTGGGGAGAATGATGGCTTTTGAGGGGAATTTATTTGCGTTTGGGCTTTGAGGCTCAAACCCCAGCCAGCCAAGGGGGTCCTTGTCCCTTTCCCTCCAGAGCTGCAGCCGGAGCTCGGGTCCCCTGGTGCCCCCCGTTCCCAGCTCAGCCGTACCTTGGGGAGCCTGTACTTGTCTCGGAAGTGGGACCTGACCGTGGCTCTCTCCGCCTTGCGCTGGGCAAACTGGGCGTCCCTCTCCATCCTGCGGAGCACACGGGGCACTTATCAACAACAGCCCGTGCCCTCCATCCCCGCCTTTGCGCCTGCCCCCCAACCTCAGCATCCCCCATTTTCTCTGAAAAGTCCCGTTTTCCCACAATTTCCTCCCCCCAGCGCAGCCTGGAAGGAGAAAACAATTCCATCTCCCGGGTGAGGAAGCGGATTAAGGGATTAGGGGGCTCATGAAACCCCCTCACGGTCCTGCTGTCCCCAGCGCTGGCTCCCCCCACGTCCCACGCTCGGGATGCGGGACTGCAGCGGGAGCAGCCCCTTCCCCCTGGGGCTCGGGGGTCCAGCCCGTGCCGGTGCCGCTCGCACTCACTTCTCCTCCACCAGCTGCCGCTGATATTCCTCATACTCCT